GAAGCAATGGGCAAACGATTCGCCCCTTCGTACGCAAACCTTTTCATGGCAGAGTGGGAACGTGAGGTGTTGCCCCTCTGTCCATTTGACCCACTTTTTTACGGACGCTTTTTGGATGACATTTTTATGGTTTGGACTTATTCTATCGAACAGTTTTGGGAATTCTTTGAAATTCTCAACAACCACCACCCTTCTATCAAACTAACCGCAAACGTGAGTGGCAAAAGCATAGACTTTCTCGATACCACAGTCTTTAAGGGAGATTCCATAGCAGAAACAAATAAATTGGATATTAAAATGTATTTCAAAGAAACTGATACTCATCAACTCTTGCACAAGAGCTCCTTTCACCCAAAAATACCTTTTCTGGTATAATTAAGTCACAAGTTTTACGATTTCATCGAATTTGTACAAGATCTTCTGATTTCAACCAAGCCTGTACGATTGTTTTCTCAAAACTGAAAGAGCGTGGGTACTCTAAACGATTTTTACGAAACATAAAAAATTCCACCTTAGCACAGATAGCAGCTAAAAACAGACTTTATGCCGAAGTACCTCCAGGTTTAATAAGTGCTCCATGTTTGTCCAGTAGATGCAAAACATGTCCCTTTATATCAGAAACTCATTCTTTTGTAAGCAACTCTACGAATAAAAGGTACCCGATCCAGGAACATCTAACATGTGAACATTCGAATGTAATATATTTAATTTCATGCAAGAAATGCCCCAAACAATATGTAGGAGAAACTAAGAATAATTTACGAACTCGCTTTAATGCTCATAGGTCAGACATCAAATTAAAGAAAGACAAGCCTGTTTCTAATCATTTCAACCTCGACGACCATTCAATAGACGATCTCACCCTAATCCCAATTGAGCGTATAGAAATTGACTTGCCCGAAGATGAAACTACCAAATTCCGTCAATCTAGGGAGGCCCATTGGATTGAGACATTGAATACAGCAAGACCTATAGGACTAAATATTCATCATAATGTAGGCATAGCACCCTTTGTTGTCCCGTTTAATACAACCAGCAATCGAGCAAGCAAGATAGTTCATGCCCACTATAAGAGCCTTCAAGAGAAATTCCCCCATGTATATAAACAGAAAATGATAGTTGCATATTCAAAAAATAAGAACTTAAATGATAATATTGTTCATAGTAAACTAAACAATCAGTACATAACAGATACTATACTTCTCGCCCATCGGGCGAGTTATTTTTTCTAATTTCAGGTCAGAATAAGAACAGAAGAAAACCCAATATCAAGACCCTTAATCCTAATTTCTAAATAAAGTGTCTGCTCCACCCTAGGCCTGTACATTTGGGAGAATCAAACCTTCCCTTCCACGAAATCATATAAATTATATAAGAAAGGGTTTTAACATACGCCCTTTAGTAAATTGGTTTTATTAAGATTTGTAACAGGAAAGTTTGATTTTCCATTTTGTAGAAGCCAAACATGGCAAAAATACTTCATTGAGCAGTGGATTTTGAACTAGATTAAATAATGAATTTCTGGAGAAGACATCAATTTGCTCAAATCCTCTCTCTAACTGGACTTAGAACAAGCTCGTTTGTGGGCCACATAGGATATTTATTGGGAATTTGGCTCGCATGGAAAGATGATCTATAATCCCTGGTTTGGTTTCATGCAACGTTTCGACGTGTTTCCCCCGTCGTCCTCAGACACATAATTGATGGGCAAAACTACTATGAGACTTGATCGTTAAACAATAGTTTTTGTTATATAACTCTAGCCTCTATCACCCAGTCCAACTTCGACGCAAGATGGTTGCTTAAAATCTTGAACGAGTCTACAGTGGCTATTCAATGTGATTGGTTGTCCTATTGTGCGGGAAAACCAAAATTTAAAGTAAAGCTTCCGTGTGTATCAATGAAACAGTAATTATGGCAATAAATTTAACGACAAATTTTAAATCAGATGATATCAAAAATAAACTGAAAGGTTTTGTGGAGGTTTTCATTTTGTTTCGGTTGTGAGCAAATCGCATGAAAATAATATGCTTAAGTGTAGTTATCTCTTATACATCAAAATTCCCGGGTATCTATTTAAAGATAATAGGGAATACCCGATAAACATTTAACAATTTGATGAAAATTATACCTTCCATAATTTATGCAAGAATGTTGTTCATGATAGAGGTCATGGTGTGCGCGTCGCTAATAATAATAAAACTATAGCCGACAACTTAGTTTCTCTAAGTAAGGGTTAAGCTAGCCTGTGTCTCTATGGACTCATTATAGTGTAACTTGCTATAGATACGATGCAGTCATGTAGATGCAAAAAGTTATGACAAATTTGGCTTTTGTCATGGTGACAAATGGCAAAAACTAGTGACCCAAAACTCTGAAGGACCGAATGGCTTTTTATTCAATGTTCTTCATTGCTACTTCTTAAATCTTAATTCTAAATTCTTATTTCCTAATTTGCATGCTTAATTCAACATTTTAGCCATTTTGTGTTTGACGTTTTGCATTTAAGATATGTTGAGCTAGATTTGTATTTGTAGATTTGTATTTGAGGATATTTTTGGCAAGAATTCTATTAATTCAATAATTGGAAAACCGAATGTTCATTTTCAGTACAAATTATGATTTTCGTATACAAATGTCAATTTTCAATAACAAATGTTGAATTAAGCGTGCAAATTAGGAAAGAAGAATTTAGAGTTAAAAATCAAGAAATAGCAATGAAAAACATTGAATAAAAACCATTCGGCCTTCCATACAAAACTGTGTAAAGTACTGTACACACTAACAACATTTTCGACAATATGGTATCTGGGCAACATATTGTCAGTATGTACATGTCTACAGTACTATAAACTCCTATGAAAATCGACATTTGATCCGTATATTCATGTTTGAGGAACTGACAAGGCAGGGGTTGTAGAATGAGATCCAGGAAAATAAAATTTAATCAAATATATTTCAGGTGGATCTATATTAAGGCTTTCATACGAAGACAGGTTTATTTTCTTTTAAAGGAAAACATCCATCTATAGTTTTCGAAAGTAAAATTAGAAGTATCTGTTTTTCACCATTCAGTAAAAACTTACTCAAAAGGAGGGTTGTTAATATAAAAAAAGCTGATTTATGAGTTGAATAACAACGAAATCAGTAAAAGTGAACGTATAATTAATATTTATAAAAAAATTTCATGTATCGGTAACTGATTTACTAGTTGGATAACAGCGAATTCAGTAAAAGTGAACTTATAAGTAATATTTATAAAAAAAATTCATGTATTGGTCACTGATTTACTAGTTGGATAACAGCGAATTCAGTAAAATTGAAAGTTGTCTATAATTAAAATTTATAAAAGGTTTCATTGATAGCTGATTTACTAGTTGGATAACAGCGAATTCAGTAAAAGTGAACGCATAAGTAATATTTATAAAAAATTTCATGTATTGGTCACTGATTTACTAGTTGGATAACAGCGAATTCAGTAAAATTGAAAGTTGTCTATAAGTAAAATTTATAAAAAGTTTCATGGATAGCTGATTTACTAGTTGGATAACAGCGAATTCAGTAAAAGTGTATGTAAAAGTAATATTTTTAAAAAGTTTCATGGATAGCTGATTTAAACTCTTGTCTTACCAGCAATAAACGAATAACCAGACAATGTCCCTTGAACATTTAAATCACACGCCAATTATTATAGTTGCTCAACGGTTATATTTATTATATGAAATAAACGATGGAATAAAAAAATACACATGTCTGCGAGACAAAATTTAGACTGATAACAATCCATAATATATTCTAACATAGTATTGCCAAGTTTCTTAAAATTTAAAAATTTGTTAAAAACTGTTAATCAGAAATATACAAAGAACCTTACCTCAGTGCTATGGTTATCAAACTAGATCGTCATCTATAGTGAGTGTAGTTATATAGTTACACTTATACTTGTAATTCATTGAAATGTGTTTTTCCAGGTAATATTATAAATCAATTCTTTTAATAATGAGGTCAATGGCGGTCAATATGACTTTTAGGTGAAATACAATCACAGTAACGAAATGGAAAGGTTGATGAATCAAACTATCGTTTCCAGCTAAATAGGTCGATACAGAATATGTATGATAATTATTTTGAAAATTCTATGAACAGATTTATCGAAAAAATTCTTTTCGAAAACTAAATGACTATTTATTGAGCTGAACCAAACAAGGTAATGCGTGGGCGGCAACATTACAGGGAAACGTGACTCATATAAATTATATTAAAAAAGGCTTTAACAAACACCCTCTAGTAAATTGGTTTTATGAAGATTTTGTAACAGGAAGGTTTGATTCTCCATTGTGTATAGATTAAAGATGAAAAAGATACTTCATTGAGATATTGGTTAATATTACCCCAGCCTTGAGGAGGGAAATATTTAATCCAGCAACGAATTTCATAAATATCATATTACAAAGGCACGAGTGAAAGATTCTATTTATCACACAGCTATCAATAAACATATATTTTCCTTACATTCCTTGCTCTTTTTCTATATAAGGCCTTCATTTTGAGGTCAGCCTTTTTACACCTTTCTACAAAATGTGACAAAAAAAGATTTTGGAAAAAAAGATTACTAAATTGAAACTTTTAATCAAATTATGTTATTTTGAACAATTGAAACAGGGGTAAATAAACACTAGCATCTAATTATAATATATGACAACTTCAATAAATAAAGAGAGATATGGCATATATTACCATAAAGGGCGAAACCGGAAGTGACTCTCTAATTGTAACCAAACGTGCATTAGAGAAGTGAACTTATTGGGACACAAGACTATTGGTTGGAAAAATTGTAAGGCCAAAAGTGCCATGTATCAGATACTAGAGATTAGGGTGATTGAAAAGTAACCAGTTACTATTCAATATAAGGCACTGGCACAGAGTTAAAGTTATGTTTACAATAATTGTGATGCTAATATGCAATGAACTAAATCAAAGAAGATTATAACGGTTATCCTATAAATCTTCTTGGACCTAATAAAGAAATTCATAATACTTATAATCTACATTTACGAAAATAACATTATTGAGACAATTGTCTGTGGAAAATACAGAATCATAAAAACTCTGACTGCTTCAAATTTTCTGGAATAATGAAGAAAAGCGATTAATGGCTGCAGGTATAGAAAGTAAATTGTTTTAGACTATTATATACTATAAAGTACAAAGACAATGAAAATGAGAATATTTAATTCTGTTAGATCACTCTACATCATCGGTGGAGTCAAGTCGACCACGAACAACTATATCCTGTAGATTAAGCTATGACTAATTTTTTTGTAAAAAATAGTGGGAAATTTATTTTGTAACTCTGTGTAGTATCTTTTGATAATTCGGGATGCTTGGCAAGAAATGTTATTGAATGGAGCAACAAATGGGATTATTTGAGAATCAAACTGTATATTTAGTCCACAGGGTGAAACAGTTTTTAGTTCATTCATCCAAAAGCTCTTATGACTTATTCCAACAATTAATGAAGTTTGTCCACTATCAGGGCTTTCAATCCCTCTAACTCATAAAACGTAGCTTCCAATAGCTGGTTTTCCAATTGATTGGTGGTAACTGGTAATTCATATCTAGCGGGTACATTGCCTTTATTCCGCAGGTAATCTAGAATTACAGAAAATTCCTCTGGATTTCTATCCAGACTATACGTTGGTATGTTGTCAATCATCTGTGGTCTAACGATTGAATCCTTGTCTACCATAGCA